GGTTTCTGGGGTTTTGTTTAGCTTCTATATTTGTTACAATGTTTCAAACTGCAAGCTCAGAGGCCGGCAGTGCAGGCGGGGAAGCTTGGCTTCCTCCGTCACTGAAGCAAGGAAGCCTCCCTGTTCGCTTCAAGCTGCCTGGCTGCCGGCCGCCATCTTGGCTGGCAGTTAATTTGCATATCTCCCTGATTAGCCAATGGGAAGGGTAGCGGCTGTACGGCTAATTACCATGTTTCTCTTTTATTAGATAGGAGGATTAGCTGATGTGTGGTAAATCACATTTCCCTCCCTCCCCCTAATTTCTGATTCAAGGGGCTTGGGAATCCACACTTTAACAAAGACCAACCAGCAAAACTCAAACAGAGCCACATTTGGGGACTGTTAAAATATTCTGTTAAACAAAAAAATTTGACACTTGTTAAGGAACAGTAAGGCAAACTTTTCAAGGGGGGCTACTACAGTGGGGTTCTGTAGTGGGGGAAAGATTGGGCTCAACTCCCAATGCCATAGAGAAAAGTGGGAATTTATAGCCAAGGAGCAGGTTGGGGGTCAGTGGATGGGAAGTTACTAGGAGGGGGTAAGGGTGGATTCTGGCTCAACCAACCTAAACTGACCTAACAGGACTCTTGCCCAAGGCAATCTGGGTGATCAGACACCACCCCGGGGCGGGTCGTGGAGGATCAGGAACCTCATCAGAGTCTCTAGGCCAGCCGTGGGCAAACTACGGCCCGAGGGCCGGATCCGGTCCGTTTGAAATGAATAAAACTAAAAAAAAAAAGACCGTACCCTTTTATGTAATGATGTTTACTTTGAATTTATATTAGTTCACACAAACACTCCATCCATGCTTTTGTTCCGGCCCTCTGGTCCAGTTTAAGAACCCATTGTGGCCCTCAAGTCAAAAAGTTTGCCCACCCCTGCTCTAGGCCCTGGTGATCAGATATCTCGGGTAGGGGCCTCTGGCTAAACCAACTTCGCAGGATTCTTGCTAAAACCGGACAATGTGGAGATGAACACAGAAGCCCCAAGTCGGGGCCCAGCGGAGAGAGTTCAGAGGAGCCGGGTTGGGTTTGGGCAGGGAGGGACTGTCAGGACCCAGGACAGCGGGGTCGGCTTCACGCACCCGCAGGTCGGGGG